AGGTGGGATGGGACAGAACCTGATACCAGTTTGTACATGATCAGGAGTCGGTTGAAGTCTCTCCTGGTTGCGAGACTATCCCACTCCAGTTCTTCCAGGAGCTTGCCATGAGGCGTGCGTGCCATTGCACCTGAGACGAGGCGCCCCGCATGGTACTGGACTTGCTCAAGGGATTTAGCTGCCGTGGAGCTCATGTTGCTGAGGAGGACGGATGCGTATTCCAGCTTGGTGCGGACGAGAGTGTTGTACGCAATCTCCATGGCTTCACGAGGTAGCTTGCTTTGGAGTTTGCCCAGCGGCCCTAGTACTTGCCTCGACTTGCGGCAGACCACTTCTGAGTGTTCCTTCCAGCGAAGTGTATAGTGTATTGTAACACCTAGGTGTGTGTAGCAGGTCACCTCTTCAACGCGCTGGCCTGCTATGTAGATAGGTGGTAGTTTCACTTTACTTTGGAGTGTCCTGATACACATGACTTTGCATTTGTCGGGGTGCAGCTGCAACCCCCAGTCATGGAACCAGTTGGAGACAATACACAGGTCAGCGTTGGTCGTGTTGGCCACTTCAACGGCTGTGCGTCCGGAGTTATACAAAGAGGTATCGTCCGCAAAGCAATTGATGCTGGATTTGCTGGGTAACTCTTGGATGTCATTTAGATATATCAGAAACAACAAAGGCCCAAGGATGCTCCCCTGCGGTACGCCAGCTGTTGTAGAACCCCAGGAAGAAGCCACACCGTTGATGACCACGCGAATCACGTGATGATTATAGTAATAAATATGATGGCAATTGTGATAGTAATGTGCTAGTAATAAAGATGATGGCAATGATGATTAATTGTTGTAATGATGATTGTGATAAATGTCATGATGATGACAAATACATTTCTATAACATTTAAAGGACACGCTTTAAACACTAAGAGTTGCCCTCGATCTGTGAAAGGAAATCAAGATTCGGTGGAGAACTTGTGCAGTACAAAAACAATTAGAAAGTAACTTACATAAAATATCCCGAGTATGCCTGGGATTCGCAACGAGCTCCAACTTTCCTGTATCCTTGTCGTATTGGTAAAGTGGCGCGTTTTTGTCTGCTGCTGAGCGGAAGGCCTCCTCAATCTCTATGTTTGG